TGTCCTGTGGCCAAAATTCTTGTGCGAGGTGGAGCCTATGTGGATGCTACAGGTACGTTCTCTCCCTTTGTTAGGTGAGACTTGGAGCTTGGTTTTGTTAAGTCTGGTAGAATGACTTCTGCCACTGCTGGCTCTCCGCTAGTCTGTCCTCCTCTGCCTGGGCTGCCAGCTGTAAGTTGGTTTAGATTAGAAGAGGAAATTGCTAAACAGCATTCCCTGCCTTAGGAGAAATATTGTAACACTAATCAGCTTTTAATTATACGTATCAGTTTCTCCATGGTTAACAGCATTTTTTTTTTGTTCAGGGAGCTGAAGTTGTATTCTTCGGCTTGCATGGCAGAGCAGATCCTTACTTCGTAATGTTGGAGAATCTGCAGAATCACATACCTATTAAATGAAGGGGTTTAGTTGCGTGGGTTATTTCATGGAACTAGTCTTTTTTTAAACGCTATTTGCATATCTTGGGAGAGCGTTCGTGATTGCAATCGGAACGTCTTGGAAAACTTCCTGGCTGTGTTTATAAAGGCCATGTGCTGAGAAGGAGTTTCTCTCTGTTGATATCCAGTATCCGCTTTTATTTTTAAAACGTGATTGAATATCTCTAAGTGAAATATCTTGATGCATAAAATTGCTGGTGAAAAAGCAAATTTGTACTTTCCTTGCTTTGTGATAGGTTTTGAAATAGGCAGAATTTGGGCTGGACTGTTGGTTTTTCATCACCTGTCTTGAACTTAGGCCATGTACTCAAAAACCAGCGCACTGGTCTGCAGCTGCTTGGGAATCACGTACTGCTTCTGGAGGGTTGTCAAAAGGTAGCTGTGAAAAGCAGGCCTGTTGTCAGCTGCTGGGAGGCAACTACAAACAATCCGCTAAGGACTTCTCAGGGTGAATGGATTGGGAATTTTCCAATTTTGTTCCCATTGTGGAGCTGTTTCCTCTGCCCACTTAGGGTTTCTTCTTCCACAGAAACTTCAGAGCGCTCTTAACATCAGTCAAAAGAAGACTCTTGGTGCAGATGCAAATACCGGGTTTCCCCCGAGGCTGCCCTTCTTGCTCCTGAATGAGCTCCATGAATAGAGAATGTAACAAATTTGTACTGTACCTCTGGCTTTGAAGTTCGGCTCTTCCTAATAAAATCCTCCAACGCTTCCAGCTCTTTGTGTGTACTGATATGTAGATTGTGATACAAGGTCAAAGCCTGCAACAGCGGCTGTGGGCGGGAGGGTGTACCACAGCAGGCACTAGCGGAGCTCGACTAGTTAGCATAGCAGTGAAACCTGCCGCTGAAACTGGATAAATATCTGTGCTGACTAGCCTTTGCTAAGCGTTATTGCCATGGGTACGTTACTAGCTGTGCTCCAGGTAGCCGGTTTAAAGCTAGTGCTGGATGCTCTTGCGGTTGCAGCGGTTTTGGGACAGGTATTTGTCCTGGATGTGTATTTTTCAAGATTTACTTAGTTGCGGCTGCAGGCTTTTTGTCTGATGCTCTTCCAAGTCTACCAGATTTCTCAGGGAGTAAAGATGGTCTGTCTGGATTGTCACGCAGCATGTTAAACCGGTGGGTAGCTAACTCTGGCCAGGTCTGCTCTGGGCAAGGCAGAGCTCGGCTCCCCCGAGCCAGCTGGTGCCATGTTGCTGCAGCCGCTTCCCGGGTAGCACGGTGCTGCAGGTCCCCAGAGAGCCTTGGCCTTTGGAGAGAAGCGCGGGGTTGCCGGCAGGAGTGAGGGAGACGTGTCGGGCTTGCCTGGTGCAGCCTAGGCAGGGCTTGCTCACTGTCTGCATCAGACCTGACGAAAGCCTTCGAGTAGCCCTGGGGAGAAGCGTGCTTGCAAAACAGTCCCTGCCCTGAAAAAGGGCAGTCTAAGGGTTTGTCTTGTGTGTTGTCAAAGTGCCTGTGTCAGCAGTGTTCCAGTGTGAATCGTTTGACATCTAAAGCGTTATTAAACCCAGCTTGGAAGCAGGTTTTGTGTGTGTGGGAGACACTTGTTGCGTAGCAGGTGGAGGTGTTTTCCCTGCACTGCAAATCCTATGTATCTGCTCCGACCACTTGCTAATCTCCCACCTGGTTTGCTGGTTGGTGTATTGACCTCCCTCACTCTGGAGTCTTCCCAGTCCGGTAACTTTGAATAATTTTGCATGGCCACTGCTGCTCCTCAGGGGCGAGTGACTGTCCTGGCTGGAATTGCTTCCACCTGGCTGCTTCCATCACGGATCTGGGAGTTACTGTCGTGGGGAGCCTGAGCGCTGGCCAGGGCATCGGTGCCACGCTCTGAACGTAGCCACCTGAATGGGCATCTATGGCTGAGATCCCAGCCTCCAGTGTGACCTGGTGCTGGTGAGGAGGAATGGAAAGGCGGGTGGAGATGTAGTGCATCGGGGGGACTTGTTTTATCTGAGTGTTTCAATCTACCACTAGACTTTGAGAGTGGGTTTGCCCGGGCTGCCATTGAGGATCAAACTCTGCTCCATCACTGGCTCTCATATGCGTTCCCTATGTTTGCTCACTGGTTTGCTTTTTATGCCATAAAGATGCCACTTGTCATAGGAGAGGGCTGCACAGTTCTGACTTAGCCCGTGCCCATGGCCTGAGTGCTGTTACGGGGGGTGGGGTGCTCACCCTCCCTGTCCTGCCCTGGTATCCTGGGCTGCATCCTTTGACTGACCGCTGCGGTGGCCTTATGTGGCTAAAGAGGAGGGAAGCTGTCCCAGGGAAAGTCACTCATGTTAGATAACCCTGCTCTGCTTTTTTTCTGCAGTAAGAGGAGGCAGGCAGCACAGCATGCTCACGGAGAGAGCCCACAGGCCTTTTAATACAACAAGCTGATATATTACTTTGTACAGACTTGATAAGGTTGGACAGCAGGAGGTGGGCAGAGGATTTCAAATAGTGTAACACTGTCACTAGAAATCTGCATAGCGTACGTAGGCACGTTCTGCAAACAACAGGAAACCTGCTCTCATGGCCCCTCCTGGCACCATCTTCCCTACAGGTGATGAACTTGGGGAGTCCCCATGTGCATTAACCCTCCCAAGAGCTCACCCTGGAAAGCGCCTTCTTATAGGCACTTTGCATGTCAGCTCGGCCACGTGCTGGCCTCTTGCCAGGCCGATGAACTACCAGCGAGGGTTGGATCCATTTGTCCAGCCACAGTGACTACTCTGGAGAACCTCGCATGGAGGTGACCAGGTGCCACAGCTCTGTGGTGAGGCCGGTGCAGAACTGCATAAATGACTTTTTAACACCTCTGTTCTGCAATGCCAGCTACCCCAGCTGTGAAAAACCCTGTTGTCTCAAGGATCTCTCCTAAATGAACCTCAAGAAATTGCTGTACTGGGTGAATGTGATCTAGGAGTAATTGTGCAAGCTCAGGGTTAAATCTCTTCTGCACTGATTGCCTGTTTTCTGAAGCTGGTGGGTGTAACTCCAGCTTTACTACCAGCAGCCTGGTTACACTCATGCCTGAGGATTGCAACCCTTGCCAGCGTTTGCTCTGTGCTGCTAGATGGGACTCTGAGAAGGGTGCTGGCCTTAAGTGGGATAATTGCAATTAAGCTTTGCTGTTTGATCATCCCAGAGCTTCCTTGTTAAGGCAAGGTAGGGAGCTCCCCATGTGAAGCACAAACACTTCAGGAGGCATGCAGCAGTGGTAGTGGAGGGTGCTGCAAGAGGCTGACGAGCAGGCTAGATGCTGAGAAAGTATTTCTTGCCAAGCCTGCCAGTGTTTGATGTAAGGCAGTGGTACTTTCATCAGGGAACAAAACTGAGGTGCTCAAACGCTTTTTGTGCAGCGGTTGTGGTGTGCGTAATGACGATACACAAACCCCCAGGGCTAGCGAGGGAAGCACAGGCATGCCCTGCAACCTGCAGATGATGGAGTCAGGGTCTGAACAGATGATGCAGACGAGGGGAATTGGTGTGTAATAAGTGATTTGAATGAAGGGGATCATCTTAGTTTGAATTTTCTTGTTTGGAGCAGTTGAGAGTATTTTATTTGAAGAAAAAGTGAATTGGAGGCAGGAAACAGTTAAACATCTGCTCACACTATTCTGTGAATGCTTGTGGTAGGTGGTTTAATGTCTTGTCTCTTCTTGCTTGCTTCTGCCTGTGTGTTTTATGATTGACAGGGCGAACAGCGAGCAAAACAGTCTAGCACGTTCCTTCCTTCAGCGGGGAGCTGACCTGCCTCTGCGCGGGCAGACGTGACAGCGAGCGGCAGGAGGAGCGTGCTCTGCTCGCTCTGCTGGCACACCAGCCTTGCTTCCTCGTGCCTTGTAATGGCGGGGGGGTAGCTGCAGGTTTTGGTGATCGCTGCTTAACGTAGTCTGGCTGGCTGCATTAACCTTTAAGTAATATTCTTCTAAGGAACCCGTTCTAATGTGGAATCAGAAGCTGCAGTGATGCTTTTTACTCATTCTTGATTAATGCAGCTAGTGTATTTTTCAAGTTCTGGTGCTAGTTTTCCTGAATCAATGGTTTTCTCCTGCACTGTTTCAACTGTCGTATTTATGTTCAGAAGTATGGATTACTCTTCTCAAAACTTAGCCATTTCAAATTCTGCTTTGAGGAATAGCGTCAGGTTTGGGTTGGGTTTTTTTGTTTTTTTTTTTTTAATTGAGGTATGTGCCTCTGGACTGAATTAAGAGCTTGCAGTGCAGATACAGCTATTGCTTTTTCACTAGTACAATTTTCCAGTTTTCTTTGTGTTTTGTGGAAGCTTTAATATGTTTTTTCCAGAGGTGTTTATGCTTTAATGTTAAAAACATTGTAGTATGTTGCACACATGTACTTTGCCTTCCTGTGCTTGAAGCTTTCTGGACTTAACCTAACCTTTCTCCTCAATTTCTTTTAGAGGTAACCTGAACATGCTAATTTCATTTTTGTCACTAGCTATGTTTTAAGGCAGGCCTTTGTGCAGCCCCCTTGTAGCACCTGTGGAGACTTCCCATTTGTCTTGGATAAACTAACTTACTTAATCTTTCTGTTTTTATTGCAGGTTGGGGGGACCTGATCCTCTGGACTACGTTAGCATGTACAGAAACCTGGGAAACCCAGCGCTGAATGTTCCTGAGCACTGGCACTACGTCAGCTTTGGGTTAAGTGACTTGTATGGAGACAACAGAGTCCATGAGTAAGTGTCATTTAAGTTCTGTTGCTGCATGTTGTGTTTTGCGTTGTATTTGGGGGAGTGTAGGTAAAACCCTGTCCTGCTGTTCTTATTATTTGAACAGCTGGTTTTCTGCTGAGAATACTATAGCCAGGGTCTTGCAAGGGGTGACGTATGCCTGTTCTTGGATGTAGAAGAGTTACTATGTTCCCCTTTGCAGGCTTTGAATGCAATATATTTCTTTGTTAGTGTTAAAAGTTGAGGGATTTTTTTTTTTAACTGGTAGGGAAACTTTTTTTAACTGAATGTCTTGTTGTGTTTTTCACTCTTGGTAGTCTGTTATGGTCATATGCTTAAATCCTGACCCCTCCCTGTGCATGTTAAATGCCTTCCTCTGGAAAACTGCTGTAAGGGTGTTTTTCCTGTTGCTGGCACAGCAGTGTTGCTGTCAGTGGACTGCCACCCCAGTGGCTGCTGTATAAAGTGCCAATCTATGTAACAGAAGCATAAAATTATAATTGTTTGACTGTCTTCTCTCCAATAATTAAATAATTATCTCAGCTTGCTAGTATGGATGGTCTTTAGCAGGTGTTTTGTATTAGACCAAGCAAGCAGCATGATCTAACCTTATTCTTGTATTTTACTGATTTTGCTCCTTAACTCCAGTTAAAGTGAGCAGCAGTAGCCAAGCTGTCATGATCTCAGGGCTGTGAACACGGCCTTTTAAGCAGCCAGAAATGGCAGGAGGTTTCTACTGTTGCTGTTTCGTGAAACTGTCTTTGCACTGTTTCGTAGTTGCAGGGTAAATGTCCTTGATGAATGGTGCAGCAAAGGCCCCAGTTTGTTCACCCAAGCTTTTCCTCTTTTGTTTGTCTTAGTTACGATTCAGCCACCATTTTTTTTTACCCAGGTGCTTCTCTTGTAACAGCAGCAGTCAGGCAGTTTCTTTAACCTTACCCATGTCCTGAAGGCAGTATCTCTTGTTTTGTTTTGTTTTTTTCTCCTGTTTGTGGTTACAGAGCTGTTTTTTAGAAGACAAGTCTCTTAAGACAAGTTTATAAAGGACCTTAGTGTCACAGAGATCTGCCTGGGACATTTAACCAACACCTCTACTAGCAACAAACCCCAGTCATTAGTTGCTGAGGTAGGGGAAAGGTAGAGCAAGTGAAAGAAATGAAGAGAAGTTAAAGGCTTCCTTCCCTGACTTCCACAAGACACCCTACCATGGACATGCAGGCCTTTATGTGGTGCCTTTGTTCTCAGATCGTGAGATTTCGTCTTTGCCACTGAAAACTTGAGGTTGCCAAGATTAGGTGACCTGTGTTTGCCCACCTCGTTTTGCTGGAATTTAATGTTGGAAGGAGTAAGTGCTGCACTGACTTACTCTCTTTGGTGACTTGTCAGCCTGAGGCTTTCCCATGTTGAGGCTATTCTCTTTGCTCAGATTCTTTCCTGATGGTTTTGTGTGAGAGCAGGGAGCGCACATGAGGGTCTCAGCTGAAGACATGAAGGGTGATGTTTCTATGAATGAAGCAAACTATGTAAGGACACAGCCGTCTTGGCCCTGGTACATGCTCTGTCTTCTCAATCCCAAAAACTGTCTGCTAGACAAAAAACTTTTTCTTTAGTGGAAGGCTTGGGGGAAGAGGAGTGAAAGTATCACACAGGTGGAATGTCACAACTTTAAATAACTTCCCGGCACAAGACCTCCTAACCCTTCATACTGTCATATGGGTTGGTCTGGAAATTTGGATCAAGATAGTGGAATGTGCAAAGGCACATTGTGCTGGTTACAGGCACAGGAATTAAAATCCCATCTCTATACACAGACTGCAGGCGATTCCCAAGGCCTGCAGAGCAAAGGAGGAGCTAAGTCTGTGCCATGCTGCGGGACGTCCGAAGTCCCCGAGCGCCCTGCATGTGCGTGAGCCTGGGAGGAGGCTTAGAGAGCCGGTGTGCCTCGGCTGTCCCGGCACCGCGCTGCCGGAGGCTGCTGCAGCTGGGCACTGCAAGCGAACAGTGAGCCCTCGCTGCTGTGCTGCTTTGCAGACGTTGGCAGCAACCTCTTGAGCATGGGCCTGCTCAGATCCATCAAAGTGATTTCCATGCCCTGGGTGCGTGCATGTGTTTCCCTTCTCTCTGTGTGGCTGGAACGATGTTCCTGGCTCCACAGTGGAGTGTCCCTGTGTCACTGTCCCTGACATGTTCAGCTGTCTGCGGTCTGTCACCTTTTTTTTTTGGCCTCATCCTTGGAGCTACAAAGCTTAATACTATGTATGCTGTCGAGAAGGCTGGCTCTGCCTTTATGGCAAATAGTCTTAACATACAATTATGCATGTGGTAAAGGTGTCAGAACCTACGCATCTCTTAAACACTGAACCTGAAGTTATCACCTGGTAGGTGAGCACTGTAGACAGGCAGAGAGAAGATTTTCGAAGGAGCTCAGCCCTCACCAGCAATTCTTACTCCCAACAGCACTCGCTGTTTGCTAACTACTCTTGAAACGCGATTGCCACATGAACTGCACATCAACAGACCGGCACGGGGTGCACGCTGCAGGAATGTAGTGGTTTTCCTATGTGCTCGGGAGGCCCTTGTTCTCTGGCAGGGAATTTAATAAAGCCCTTGTTTAAGAAAACGGGTATCAGTCTCTTTGTTGCTTGAAGGACTTTGGGATTCTGCTGTCCCAGGTAAAGCATGCTGTGGGGTGGTTGGCAGGAGCGTGGGGTGGCAGAGGAGTTGATGAAATCTTTGTAAGATTTCCTTTAAAGCTGGTGTGGCACTGAACTCTGCTCAACTGCCTTGGCCTCTGGAGACAGGGTTTAGTTTGTGGGGTGTTTTGGTTTCCCAACTCTCTCTGCAGAGTGCAGAGCTGGACCTGCTTGTGACAGTCAGCAAAGTTCCTACAATAGGGATGTTCTTCCATAACCTTGCTGTCCTTCTTCCTTTAGAAGGGGAAGGATAGTACACTGCCAAAGGTCTTTTTAATCTCCCAGCTTGACTTTGGGTAATGTATAGCTTATTTCTTGTGGACCTCTTCTGGTAATGCGGTACAATCTAGACCAATTATAATGCAGTATTAAATGAAAGGGACTTTTTGATTTTTTTAAGTGAACCAACGCTGAATTGGAGGCCCCTATATTTTATTTATAATGGAATAGCAAACAGATGTAGCAAATAACGTGAAAATGTTGACTTTAATTTATATTTTTTAATAAGAACCTGAAAAGTCTGAAGTGGAGCTCTCCCTGTGCCTCCTTGTTGACAGATTTATTTTCAGTTAAAGCAGCAGTATTTCCTGCTCTGCTTAAATATCAGCTATGCTCTGCTTACAGAACTGGTCTGGTTTTAAGAGTCCACAGAATAAGATGGAAGAAATCTAAGAATTTCAAATGGGGAAACCTTTTTCATTTAAAACCACTTGGTGTTTCATGGTATAATGGCAACCATGACACCAGCTGTGCTGGGCTGATTGCTCTAAAAATCCTAAATCATGACGTCATGACAGCGTTAGGTAATCACAGGCCTTTCAGGGGGATTTCACGCCAAGCTGCTTGCATGGAAGTAAGTCTCTCCAGTCGAGCATGTTGCACAACTTGAGTGGCAGCAAAAATCCTTCCGGGGCATTTTTGCAAGTTATTCTTCGTTTGTAACTTTTTTTATCTACTTTAAAATCAAAACTGATGTGTAACTTCTTGAATCTACTCAGCAGGGTTAGAGCAGAGCCTTTTTTTGGACTGTTCTGGCTTTCTGAAAGGAAGATTGTGTACTGCAGCAATGAGTGTACGTGTAGCATGTGAGCACGCTGGCAGGGAGTGTCTGGCCTGGGCAGCTGAGAGAGAGGAGACAGGTCCTACTCCCTTTTCCATGCCTTGCTGGCAGCTATTGCCCCACAGCAAAGTCGGCAGCAAGGAACGTGTCCCCGTGTGTCCCTGTGCCTCAGCTGGCAATTGCAGATTCATACTCTGATGCCAGACCATCTGCATAGCCAGGGCACAGGCACCTGGTCCTTCCTGAAGTTTCCAGGTGTGATGGTGACTGCTGCCTACGTGGAGAACAGGTAGGCAGTGTCAGCAAGCGTAGCTAGACTCGAACTCCGTCATTGGCAATGCCAGCTTCAGCTACTGCAGTGCCACGGCATGCTCCAGCCCTGGGTTGTGCTGGCGCAGGCGTTTGCAGGGCTGTCCAGAGAGCTAGGAAGCGACATGCGTTTTCACCAGACTGACTTCTGTCTCCAGTTCGCTGTAAGGCCAAGGCTGAATCTCCAGTTAACTGCTCCTGTAGTTCGAGTGCTCGCCCTTTTTGTTAACAGTTTAAAAAATGTGTGTAAAATGAAAACCACGATGCAATAGAGTGCCTGAAAACATTGAATAGTCGTATCTGTATTAAAATTGCAAGGTTGTAATGCGCAGCCACAACAGAAATCAAAGCTTAAATTATGTCTGGGTTAAGAGGTAAGATTTGTGTTTGTGGCCTTCCCACATCCTGAGAAGAAACATGCCAATTGTGTTTTGATGTTTAGCTTTTTATGCAAATTCCAATAATTGGGTTTCCTGATGTACACAAACTTCATATTGACAAGGGTGGTGTTTTTTGTTTTGGGTTTGTTGTTTGCCTTTTTTTTTTTTCTTCTTCCTGGCAGCTAGCCAGGAGCTGAAGCTCAGCATCCCATTTGCACAAAACCGAAGAGATTACAGCTGCCTTCATCTCCAATACAGATGCAGGGTACCACCCGCAGAGACAACAGGTTCCAACTTGCTGTGGTCCTTTTGATTTGCGCCACTTACCATTTGGATCAGGAGGGAGCGGTGCATGCCGGGATAACGTGTTGTCTCTGTGGGTGGTGCCTCCCTATTAAAGGTGAGGGTAAGCATGAGCCTTTCAAGATCTCCAGTCCAGCTTGTGTTCTGCTGGGTTGTATAGATCCTCTGAATGACCTTAACTTGTAAAAGGGCAAGGATGCTTGTTAGAGCTGGGAGGAAGAAAAAGGAGCGCAAAACTGGATCAGGTAACAAATGCAAGGC